ATTAGTTACCGTATATTACCCGGTATACAGTATATATTTTCAAACCATTTATTTAATATAACAATAATTTATTTTATACACAATTTATTTAAATTAATTTAGATTTTTCTTATTTACAAAAACAAAATATATATGAAATATTGTATTTAAAAAGGGACAGAATTAACTGTACAAACCTGTCCATCAGCTCAAAGCACATGTTAACACAATTTACGATAATTTACTAAATGATTATTTAGTAATAATTTATTTTTATATATATTACAGGTATGTTATGAATAATTGTACGAATTTATAAAAATACTCTCCAATTAATTACTCCCATTCCCGAGAGGTTTAAAGGGTGTCACTAAAGTTGATGACATGATTTAGCTTGTTAAGTAGCTACAGTATACAACAGTGAGTTGTAAACTTGGTACCAAATTTTAGTGATAATTCGTTGAACACAACAATTATATAAACTTATACTTCCATTAAATTGTGATGAAAACTGAGTTCATTTGTAACGAAACGAAACAGAGACTCGAAATGTGAATGTAAATGAAATATTAAGTTATAATAAATGCCAAAAAACTGCTTAAATAATAAAATTTATTTAAAATTAATTCTGTATAGAAATGACACAATTGTTTGGAAAACATAAATTAGAGTCAAAAGACGGTGTGAATTGGTTTCTGTATATAAACTAATGATTGGATGACATATTGAATGACATATTCATAACAAAGAAACAAATATTTATTTAATTTTATCGCTGGTTGTGACGGGTTTAGTGATGCGACCGCAGAGGAGTCCACCGCCGAAGATGACAGTAATGCAGCAAAAGAAGATAAACAAGAAGTAGTTCCTCTGCGGCGACGCGGCCACCACTTTGTAGACGTCGGCCACACTCTCTGCCGGTGCCATTTGGGCCGCGTATTCAAACATCTCGACCCTCTTCACGAGCATTGTCTTGCATAATATGTTGTGTATTATTAATATAGACATACTGTAGATATGAATGTTTATTAATATAATGTGCTATCAATTCATGTATTCAATGGCTTTCATGGCAGAGATATTGTGTGTGTTTTGACAGCAATTCAATTGAATGAATGGTAGAGTAGTTATGCACTGAATATAGTGAATGTGAACTCAATTTAATCAAACAGTTGTCAAACACATCACACATTCAGTCATTGAGTGCTTTTGTTTCACTAAATTGTGTTAATGTTATACCCATTCATAAGCCACTAATCAATGGTTTGATTTGATATACGACCGCATCATCAGTGCTAATGAGTCTCCAATTGACTGTCTTTGCATTCATTGGTCTCCTGTGGGCTAATACTAGCCATGGATTAGACGGACCTAATGTGTGCACCAAAGAGGAAATGTTTGTCTATTTAATGAATGAGTTAATGAAGCAATGGATGACTCATTGATTGTTTGCAATGATTCCCATAGTTTCCCACAAGAGGTTCAGGTGCAGATCAACGTCCCCTATGAGGTCCGCACCATTGGCTGGTGTCTCGCTGTCCCTCCGCGGTGTCGCAAAACCAGGTTATTGTCAATCATTTAATCATTTAATTGATCCATTGGCTGATTAGTGTATTGGTGCTAATTGTGGTATTCATGAGTGAGACTTGAGTTTTGCTTATTTTTATATTGAGATTAATATTTGAAGTATTGATTTGTGAGTGAATGGACTCAATGTCTGTCATATCTTTTATATTTAAGATCTCATTATCTAATGAGGAAATCATAAATTGTCATCAGAGAGAGAGAGAGAGAGAGAGAGTAGATAAATAAATAATTTTTTGGGAGAGAGAGTGAGATATTAGATATTAAATAATAAAATTCATGAAATGGTTATGTATTTGATATACAAAACACAGAATCGCTTACAAAAAGGGATACAAAACGGAGACAAAGCTGTCGACGCGAACCATCACAACCTGTTGTAAGGGTTATGCCGAACACACCGATCGGTGTATCCGTGAGTTAAACACTTAATTCATGTCTCGTGTATTGAGTCAACTGAACTGCAATTAACATATTTGACAGCAATCTGTGCCAACGCTTGCATTCACGGTCACTGGTATCGTGGGCTTTGGACGCTCACAGTCGGGCCCATACTGCACAAACGTCTAATGTGACAGAAAAGTAAAACAGTAATTAAGAGTAGGTAAGAGAGGTAGATAAATACACAAGTCTACCCCGCCTCTGACCTGTAATATCTGTGAGTTATTTATAATTTTGTACTTTAAATATGTTTATGTTTTTGCTTCAAAACAGAGATTTTTTCTATAAATAACTTTTGTGTCGTTCCCATTGGGAACTTCCCAGTAAAAGTGATCTTTATAGCGTAGCGAAACTTTTTAGATAATTTTTATATTTTTGATGAATATTCTGATTAATATGTGTTTTGATTCATTTATCGCTGCATTTTATAAGTGATAATAAGTAAGCGAATAGTTTTATAAAGTTTGCAAACTTTTTACAATTTATTGATTAAAATATTAAATGCATTAAAAGCTTGTCCGAGGAATAAATGGGGAAATAATTGCGAGAATGACTGCAAATGTGAGCACAATTCCAAGTGTGATGCGGTCACCGGTGTCTGTACGTGTGCCCCCGGTTGGCAGGGGCCTAATTGTAATAGTCCCTGTCCTCGTGGTTTCTACGGTTATCATTGCATACAAAACTGCCGGTGCGAACATGGAGAGTGTGACCACATAACGTAATTTACAAATAAGTTAAGAATTATTATATATCAGAATTAAAAGTTTTTATGAATTTAGGGGCGCCTGTATGTGTGAGCCAGGCTATAGAGGCCCGCTGTAAGTGATTTGATATTTGATAGTTAATTGAAAGACTTATTTAAAAACGATTGCATGAATTCAGTTGCAAAGAGAAGTGCTCTCCGGGAACACATGGATCCCAGTGTCTGAGTCAATGCATGTGTCAAAACGATGGTCAATGCGATCACATATCAGGCAGTTGTCAGTGCCCTCCCGGATGGATGGTTTGCATTGCAGTTAACTTTTTAGCAATTTTGCATTAAGTGTTAATTTAAAATTTAGGGCGAGTTTTGTACAAATAGTTGTACTTTAGTGCGAAAATGGGGAAACAATTGCACCCTAACCTGTGACTGTTATAACGGTGGAACTTGTGATCCAGTTAATGGCACCTGTATTTGGTTAGTAAATCATGGATTGATTAGTAGTCTAATTGTCTAATGAAATATATTATTTGATATGAATGAGCAGTAAATATGGTTATAAGGGAATCCGGTGTGAAGAGGAGTGTCCGGCCGGCACTTACGGCCTGAACTGTGAGAAGAAGTGCCACTGTTTTAATGACGGCACCTGTGATCCAGAGAGTGGACAATGCGTTTGCAAGAATGGATGGCAGGGCTCACAGTGTGAGACAAGGAGTTGTGTGGATGGGCTGTATGGACCCGATTGTGAACATGTCTGTCAGTGTCACCAAAATAATAGTGTTTTATGTCACCCCTGGACCGGTGATTGCACTTGTAAACCGGTTCGTTTTAATATTACCCTGAGTGGTTAGATTATTTTAAAAAATAATTGTCGTTCCAAAAAGGGTTATACCGGAGAGTTATGTCACCGACAATGCGCTCCACCCTCTTATGGCGAGAACTGCAATGAAGTCTGTGGCTGTCATAACGGCGCTCTTTGTCATCACATCACAGGTTTTTATTGGATTAAAGTTTATTTGAGTTGTGGATAATATGTGACAATATAATCGTTGTTTAGGTGAGTGTTTGTGTGACGCGGGATGGGATGGTCTCAAGTGTGAGAAGCCCTGTATGTCCGGTACTTTCGGAATGAGATGCTCTCAAAACTGTTCGTGTTTTGGAAATATTAAATGTTTGCCACAAAACGGAATGGTAGGCATTAGTGATTCAATTAGTGATCTATAAGATAAGTACCGGTAATTTTAATAATATTTAAATTGACTCCAAGTGTGTCTGTCCGGCTGGTTATGCGGGGCTGAGATGCGAGCGCCCCTGTCCTCCGACCAAATGGGGGCCGATGTGTCAAAACAACTGCTTGTGTCAGAACAACGGCGCTTGCGATCCAGTCGACGGTTAGACTTATATAAATTGGTTTGCATTTGAATTATCGCTAATTTGTTTATGAATTCAATGTTTAGGAACTTGTAAATGTTCGCCCGGTTATACCAAAAACGATTGCAGGTATTATTATTATTAAATTAAATTCTATTCAGAATTTTAAATATCTTTTACTCTTTCAATTATAGTGAAAAATGTTTGAGTGGTAAATATTATATCCCTATTAACTATTTGTATGTGTTTTAAGTGATAATTGTTTTGCAAAGGCTTTTATGGAATTGACTGCAAAAATCAATGCAATTGCAATGAATCCAATTCTAATTCTTGTGATCATACGACCGGTAATTTAATTGATTAATTATATGATATTTGATTAGTACAGTACAGTATCTAATGATTTGTATTATGGACTGAAAGGTGAATGCATTTGTAAAAGCGGTTTCTCTGGATCTCACTGTGAGTTTGTGGGCAACTATTGTCCGAAAGGCAAGTGGGGCTCAAATTGTGGCAAACAGTGTTCCTGTGCTGAGGGCACCGCCTGTGACGCCAATAACGGACGCATTTGTATATGTGATCGAGGTTTGCACTGACAACTTACATTTTTATTGTCATATGTTAGATAATTTGAATTTGATTTCTATAGGTTGGATTGGAGTTAAATGTAACGAAAGAGTGAGTAACCATTGAAATTTCAATAATGTATAGATTAAGTTATTGCGATATTTACGGTATAACTTATTTTCAGTGCATTTCTGGTAAATTTGGCAAAAACTGTTCAGAGAATTGTCCCGTTTGTCACAATACAGCTCAACCCTGTCATCATATCAATGGTCACTGTCTTTGCTCACCAGGTATTCCCGTTTAGATTATTCGGAATAATTTATTTCATATATTGTTTTGATTTACTTAATGTATTCTTTGACTATTCATAGGATATGCTGGTCTTCATTGCGGAGAAGTAATGCATTGAATGGCATTTAATTTAGAAAATATTTAAACTTTTGTTTGAATGAATAGATCTGTCCATCGGGACGGTATGGAGTAGATTGTGGACAGGAGTGCGAGTGCTCTAAAACAGGCGGTGAATGTAATCATATAACAGGAGAATGCAATTGTTTGCCCGGTTTGCCAATTCATGAGCTCTCTATCAAATATGTTTGTTTTGACGGTATTCTGGTTTATAGGTTGGAAAGGAAAGACATGTTCTGAACAATGTGAACCTGGTTATTTTGGTATGGATTGCAGACAAAAATGCAATTGTCTTAATGGCGGCACCTGTAGAGCTGTTGATGGCCTCTGTATCTGTGCTAATGGTTTGTGACAATTCTTATATAATACTTAAACGATTTATTTACAGTAATATTTTATTTCCGATTAGGTTTTATGGGAACCCGTTGTTCAGAAATATGTAAGAGTTATCCTTTTTTGTTGAATAATGTGTTTATGCTATAAGAATATTCTGTACTATTAGGTCCGGAAGGGTTTTATGGTGACCACTGTTTGAATAGCTGTAAGTGCGAGACATCCAATTATGTGTGCGACCCAATCAAGGGATGTGTTTGCAAATACGGATTCGCTGGTGATATGTGTGACATCCGCTTAAAAGCATATCTACTTCGCGAAGATGTCGAAGAATCCAAATCATCATCAAATGGTGGACTAATTGCCGGAATTGTTATATCAGTACTTTTGCTCATCAGTGCATTGGCTCTGGTTTTGTATTACAAGCGAAGACTATTGAAACTAAAGCACGAGTTGTTTGTGACGTATACCGCCGGTGCTGAGGACGCAGTGGATCAGAGACACTTTGATAATCCCATATATTCGCAGTCCGTGTCTGCACCCAATAATATGAAGAATATTCACAATAACTTGAATAATAACAGAAGTAATGTAGTGAAGGCTAAATTGTCGTACAATACGGCAGACAATACTTGTACTGTTCAGACAGATATGTGTGGATCCGATGCTTCCAATATCTATGCAGAAGTGGATGAGAAGACAACTAAATTCAAAGAGAATAATTGTAATCCAAATATATATCATAGTATTGAAGATCTGAAGCGAATGGTCAACAAGAAAGAGCCCTTTTATGATGAAGTGAAGCGACGGAGTGCTGAAGGTTTGCATCTTCTTTAACCATTATTTTGTGACTTTTAAACTAATTTTTGTATTAATGAAGGAATAGGTGAGCCGAGCACTAGTTCTTATGATCACTTGCATTATGATAGACCCAGAAGTGATATAAAACCAAATTATCAAAGACTGGACACTGCAGCGCAGGCCTCACCTAATGAGACACCAAATGAATCGTCGGATCCGTCGACCAGTAATTCAGAAAATGATTTAACATAATTTGTTTATATTTAATTGGTTTTTAGACTTTTTGTATGATTTTATAATTACATTATATAATATTTAAATAATTTTAACCATTAACACATTTCCATAGCATTTTGAATCACATTTAGTTCAAAACCCGTTTGAAGTCAAGAATTATATTTCGATTCTTATTTTGTGTGATATATCTATTCCTAGAGATAATTAGTTACCGTATATTACCCGGTATACAGTATATATTTTCAAACCATTTATTTAATATAACAATAATTTATTTTATACACAATTTATTTAAATTAATTTAGATTTTTCTTATTTACAAAAACAAAAAATTAGTTACCGTATATTACCCGGTATACAGTATATATTTTCAAACCATTTATTTAATATAACAATAATTTATTTTATACACAATTTATTTAAATTAATTTAGATTTTTCTTATTTACAAAAACAAAAAATATATGAAATATTGTATTTAAAAAGGGACAGAATTAACTGTACAAACCTGTCCATCAGCTCAAAGCAAATGTTAACACAATTTACGATAATTTACTAAATTATTATTAAGTAATAATTTATTTTTATATATATTACAGGTATGTTATGAATAATTGTACGAATTTATAAAAATACTCTCCAATTAATTACTTCCATTCCCGAGAGGTTTAAAGGGTGTCACTAAAGTTGATGACATAATTTAGCTTGTTAAGTAGCTACAGTATACAACAGTGAGTTGTAAACTTTGTACCAAATTTTAGTGATAATTCGTTGAACACAACAGTTATATAAACTTATACTTCCATTAAATTGTGATGAAAACTGAGTTCATTTGTAACGAAACTCGACAGAGACTCGAAATGTGAATGTAAATGAAATATGAAGTTATAATAAATGCCAAAAAACTGCTTAAATAATAAAATTTATTTAAAATTAATTCTGTATAGAAATGACACAATTGTTTGGAAAACATAAATTAGAGTCAAAAGACGGTGTGAATTGGTTTCCGTATATAAACTAATGATTGGATGACATACTGAATGACATATTCATAACAAAGAAACAAATATTTATTTAATTTTATCGCTGGTTGTGACGGGTTTAGTGATGCGGCCGCAGAGGAGTCCACCGCCGAAGATGACAGTAATGCAGCAAAAGAAGACAAACAAGAAGTAGTTCCTCTGCGGCGACGCGGCCACCACTTTGTAGACGTCGGCCACACTCTCTGCCGGTGCCATTTGGGCCGCGTATTCAAACATCTCGACCCTCTTCACGAGCATTGTCTTGCATTCGGCGCTCATTTTGGAGCCAACGTCCAGTTCGGCCAAAAGACAGGACAATTGTCTGCCGTGTCCGGCGGGAATGGCTGCGCAGTAGTGCTTGAGGTCCTGAACGCACACTTTGTAGAGAAGCGGATCCGAGTGGATGTCGGCCTTCACTTGAGTGATGAGTCGCGCGACCTCTCGCTTACACCGCTCGTCGCTGATCTCTTTGTTCTGGAAACGGGTTTTCAGACATTCGGTCACATCGTTGGTGTCATCCGCGCACTTCGTTTGGATCTCCTGTTGACACGACTTATACAAAATGGGATCCAATTCGACGTTCTGCGAGACCTCGCGTATGATATTCACGACTTCTATTTCGCACGTTTGCGACAATTTGTTCAAAACGTATTGCTTCTTAAGACACGCAATCACTTTGCCCTCCAGTTGTGGGTCAGTCCTGTGGTCGTCGATGACTTTCGCACAGAATTTGGGCACATCTCTGACGCACGCAGTCTTGAGGCGCGGATTGAGCCGATAGTCGTTGTTCTGTTGGGCCAACCGTTTCAGTACAACAGACCGACACCTGTCGTCCATGCCTTGGCTGTAGCGGTGGTCTCGCAAACAGAACAGAATGTCTTTATAGTCATCGGCGGTGCAGAACTTGCCGATCGCTGTCTTGCAGTTCGTCATCAGCGAGTAGTCCACGGAATTGTCGCTCATTTCGATGCGCTGGCGCTCAAACAGCAGGTGCTGACAGGCTTTGGTGAGGCGATGCATATTAGTCTTGAGACAGTTCACGACCAGAGACTCGCCGGCACTGACACCTCTGCACACCGTTTCCCTGTCGTGTTTACACGCTTTGTCCAGATTTGGGTCCAAATCGATGTTTTCGTTTCTCTCCAACAACTCCACTCTCAGTTGGTTTTGACACTCAGGAGACACACGAAGTCTGCGCCGACTGGTGAGCGTGTCGTTGAAGACAATACCACTCAAACACTTGATGACATCGGCTTTGGTGGTGACTGTAGGGCAGTGTTGGAGCACATCCTGACGGCACGACTCTTTGAATTTGTGTGAAAACCTGTAGTTCTTTAACTGCAACACTTGGAAGTGATTGATGGCGACCTGGCATTTGTCGTACCGCTTGACTGCCATCTTATTCTTGTTGAGAATGAGACACTCCATGACATCGCCCTCTTCGATGTCTTTGTCCATGAGGTCACTGCAGACATCTTTGATGGCGTGCGCGCACACCTTAATGATGGGGTAATTGAGCTCAACATAAGTGGACAGGTCTTCGGTGAAGTTGCCGATCGCTGCGCGACAGTCGGGCTCCAACTCGTCGTAATTTTTTTGAAGGCATTCCGTTTCGTATCCCCTCTGAAGCACGTCCTCCTCATTCTGTCCTTCGACGCGACCGCTGCAGAAGTGGGCCAAGTCTTGCAGACACGGCTCCTCTATGTTAGGCATGAGATCCACTGATTGGGCTCTTCGTCTCATAACGCGTCGGATGTCGTAAATGCACTGATGGTTGAGTTGAACCTTAGGGTTCGGGTGATAGACATAGCGGTACAGACACGACAGCACACTGGGGCCCCTCTCGGGGTCTATAGCCCCCGGTTTGTTCACCCAATCACTCTTGGCGTGACAGTGTTTAACGGCGTCCCTGTGGCACGACTTGTAGATAGGAGTGTCCAACTCGAACGAACGCACCATAAAGTACTGGATTTGATGCAAGTTTTGTCGACAGTCTTCGCTCATGTCCTTCGAGTCCATGTGATCCATAAGACATGACATCACCCGTCCCTCTCCGGGCTCCACGTCATGACACAGCATATCGACTGGTGTTTGACAGGACTCCTGGAGCACGGGGTCGACCCTCCAGTCCTCGGCGACGTTCGCCTCTTTCAGGAGGTCTTCGAGGGCTCGCCTGCACTCAGAACTGATTTGTTGACTCTTTTTGGCACCTCTGGAGCGACTCCTCTTCGAGTGTCTCATCAAACAGTGTATAGTTTTGCCGCCCTTTTCAAGACTTCCCGAACACAAGCTCTGAATATCACTGCAATCGACACAAAAGGGAATTAATTTAATGGCATAGAAATGGTGTGAAAGACATACGTATCACAGGCTGAGACCAGATCTGGGGTTAGATTATAGTTCTGGAGGAGATTTGTGCGATGGGTCAGCATTTCAGTCCTGCACTGCGCGTCGACCTCCAGGTTCTTCGCGACGGCGTTCTCCAGACAGAGTAAGATCTGCGCCAAACGGATCTCCTTTTGGTCAGACGTGGCTTCTCTGCACCGGTAGGTCTTAATGTCTTGTTTGCAGGCTTTGGCCAACCCGTGCGCCACTTTGTAGTCCCTGACGGCCAACATCTCCCTCTGGAACAGCTTCTCGCGACAATTGCGGCTCAGATCGCGCTCCAGTTTATGGCGCATAAGACATCGATAGACGCGTCCGTCACCCGATTGGATCCGATGGCAGAACTTCTCGCGATCTTCACGACACGCGAAGTACAGACTCCGATCCAAATGGAAGTCATCGCTCTGTAGTTCGGCGATCCTCAGGATCTGGTGCTGACACGAGTCGGTCAACTGATCCATCGACTTCTCCAGACACTCGATGGTCGAGCCCTGCGAGTGAGTCGACTCCGAGTTGGTGTCAATGCGACCGCACTTTTGTCTCTCGATATCTTTGGCACAAAAGTCAGTGAACTTATGGATGAGACGGTAGTCACTGAAGATAATTAACTCCATTTTGGTGAGGAATGCTTTGCACTCGACGTCCGTCTCGGGAACCAGTCTTTCGATGAGACACGACATGAGATTAGCGGACGGACTCAACACCTTCTCGTCCTCCGTCTCCAAACAGTCGGCGTTTTCAGTGATGAGACGATTGCAGACACTTTTGGCCACAGAAGCGAAGTGGTTGTCGTTCGTCAGGTTCCTCTTGTAGGACCACATCAGGTGATGACAATCGGCCGACAGATGCAGGTCTTCCTCCTTGTTCTGGACGCACGTCAGCACCGATAGGTTGTTGTCGAGTGAGATACCGGTGCGGCCGCAGACCCGCGCTATGTCTTCCGCACACGACGGGTGCGACGATAGGAGGAGACCACCACTCGTGTCCGTCTTGTGGCTCATGAGTGGCTCATTCTGTACCCCATTATGCGATGGCATGTGCTCTGCGATGCCGTCCAAAGACCTGTCGTCCAAATGGTGGTTACCGTTCCCTCTAATCCCATGTTTTAACGATTGGTCCGGTTGTTGAGCACAGAAGCCGTGCACCAGAAGAATAAGGATTGTCTGTATCAATGGATTCATTATTATATGTTTTGAGACAAATCAACGCATTTCTGGAGCATTGGTGCGGATGATAGTCATCAGTGGTGTGACTGACAACTCATTTAATGGCAAATAATCACTGATTTGTGTCTCAATTATGTCAACAATTCTGCAAACGATTGGATTTCAAGTGCTGTTTGTTTTGCAAACACTTGTCATTCACATGATGTCCACTGATTGGCACCACTTATGCATACATTTCGTAACAACATTTTCGTTGCATTCATCCAAATGTGAAAACTTTTTTCTCTCCAAACCTAACCTAACCTAACCTAACCTACCCTAACATACCAGTGCACACAGTACTGCATTGGAGTCTACTGTAAATTACAATGCATAATTTTACTATCCCGTACAGAATATTCTTTTAAATTGATCTGGGCGAAAACTACTTTGATCAATAATAGTTTTTTAATAGTACTGTAATACATGTCAAACAATTAATAAGTTATTTTGTTATAATTAAGCTATCAATTGATTAATTAAGGCAATAATAATGAGATGCATATAAAAGTGAGAATATTTGATTCAGATTATAGAATTGATTATTGAAAAGATTTTGTTCATAATTTAATTGGAAATAAAAATCAATATAATAGAGGGAATGAACAGCACATATAATACACCCAAAACTGGATTATAATGAAGTGATTGACAAAATGAAAAGTCAGGTAACACTTCCTAAACAGTTTACCCCAAGACTTGAATCGAGAGTAAACCCTCGTATCAGATGAAGGTATGATATGTTGAGTGAAATGCAAAACACATTCATATCATAAAACATGAGGCAGTCTTCCAATCGATAATAATCTTATAATTCAAGGATAATATTGAGCTCTAATTTCCTAATTAAATAAATAATATAAAAATAACAAAAATTTTATTCAAATTATTGGCAAACACTTGATAATGAGGTGAACGCAAAGAAAACAGAGATTAAAGCAAAAAATTCATTGAAAAGTGGAGTAAAAGTTTGCACTCAATTGTAAATCGATATTTGATCACAACTTTCAGTACAAATCTGTCAAAAAATATGAAACCTTTAGAGTTAATGCAAAGTTTGGTAAAAGTTTACAAATGTTTTTACAACAAATCATTTAATTATTACTTTATTAACTATTAGTAATTTGTTTAATTGTTTTGATGATTGATATTTATTTTTTATATTTTGCTAACAGTTCGTAATACTGGTGCTCACATCAGTGGCCAGTCATGTGTCGGCTGTCTATTTGGTTGAGAGCGAGGCTAAGACAGCGGCCCAAAGACTCGAAGGATTTTCGGGCAACTATGGACTGGGAGGCAATTTGGGTGGACTGACACTCAATGATATTGGCTATGATATAAGCGATTCGTTCACAGAGGCCTGTCATGACATAGGCATCAACTTAGGCCTATCCATTGATCGCAATTTAAATGGATATAAATATTCACAAATCGTACCGAAAAGTTACGGCACAGCCCTAGACCTGAGTGATGTGATCGCCACTACCAAAGTGGACAGTGATTACGATTCGGATGTATTGCTCACATCAGGAACGGCTGGTTATAAAAGCAGTCCTTACAAGACGTCGGACAAGAAGGCACAGCCCTAGACCTGAGTGATGTGATCGCCACTACCAAAGTGGACAGTGATTACGATTCGGATGTATTGCTCACATCAGGAACGGCTGGTTATAAAAGCAGTCCTTACAAGACGTCGCTGTTCTACAGACTTATATGTCTTATAGACTTCTGTTCAGGTCATATACACTCGAGTCCACTACGTGCGTAAGGAGTTTTTCAAGTCAATTATGGATTTAAATCACTATGATACTGTAGCCGGATACTCATAGAAAGTGGCCATAAACCGATCTACGCTATAGAAAGTGGAGGTGCGCCAACCTTTGCTATAAAAAGTGACATAACTCCAACCTATGCTATCGAAAGTAGCGGAACACCAGCCTATGCCATAAAAAGTGATGAGTCGCCGACCTATGTCATAGAAAGTGGTGGCAAAAAGTCTGTATCGGGATATTCAGCTGAAATCATACATAAGGAGAAAAATGGCAAAATTTCTGGTGAGTCGAGAGTGACGTTCACTAAACTCCATACGACACCATCGAAACTGATCGTCGCTCCAGATATCATCAAACGAACCATTTCTGAGCCGTCGGTGTATAACAGTTACAACGATTTCAGTCCATTCACGTATGAATATCCCGGAGGATATAAGACTGCAATCACTCATAAGTATGGCTCACAATTGACCGGAGGATTTGGCTCTCATTTGACCGGAAGTTACGGCTCAATGTTGACCAATGGGTACAGACGAGTGGGACTGTTATCCGATGGAGGACTCAAAGGTCTTAAGTATTCGTATGTTTTGAAATAAATGTCAAAATTAAAGTTTGTCTTCAAAATGTTGTTAATTATTGTCATAATTTATAAGAAAATTATTATATCGTATACTTTAATTGTATTAGAGATGATCAATGAATATTATATTTTAAAATAATTATTGCTTGTGAATTTGTAAATTTTTAAAATTAAATTTGTCTGAATAATCTTACTTAATCATAAACTTATAAACTTTTCAAAATTATATATTGCTAATTTATTAAATAATATTCCAAATAACTCAATTTAAGTGAAATTTCAAATTATTTTTATATTCTATAATTGTTTAAATTAACTCAATATTTTTACTAATACATTTATTGTGATACTTTTTATGAAACGTATTTTAGAAATTTGTGCAAAGAACTTATTTTGAAGTATATTAATAATATCAGTGAATAAACTTATAAAGTAATATCTAATGAACAAGTAGTTTTGTTTTTCAAATATTTGTTATAACATACTGTATAATTATTATCAGATTTGTGCCACTAAATGATAGTTTAGTTTTACGAAATCAAAATGAAATATTGAAACTGATAGTTTGTAACAGTTAAACTAATATTTAATAATAATAACAACAATTAAATTCAATAAATATATCTGAATTTATAAAACATTAATCATTTTGTTATAAATTTGAACAATCTCTTTATTAGAATTGATAAAATATCCTAGTTAACTTTAATTACTATATATATAATATTTCTGATTAAAAAACATTTCACTTAAACTTATAATGGAAATAAGTGCATATTAATATTAAAGCATTAAAAGAAACATTTGAAATGCTATATTTGAAAATATTACATTTATATAGGATGAAAAATAAATAATTACCGGTAATGCTTTAAAATAATGTATTTTCATAGTTAATTCTAAAACAGCTCTGATTAAACATTTTTATTCTCGTATAAAACAACTATTATGACATAAATGTCATATTCAGTATTTTTCGTGAGTTTATTCCTTAAAGGTCTTAAACCACAAAATGACAATTCAAGGACCAGAATCTTGGAGTTCATATGACAGGTATATAAACACATGATATTCTGTACAATTGAATTCGTGAGTCTACAAAATTAATCATGAAGTTTTGTGTAAGACTTATTTCTAGTCTGATTTTACATTCAGGGTATTTTAGATTTTAAATCACATACAGTAATGTACTGTTAGAAAGACAACATGTCTAAAGTACCCTAGGTGTAAAACCAGTCCTTAATTATAAAAATCGGTAAAAATATTATAATAAATTTTTATAATTTAAATTCCAGATTACAATTGGTTTACTGGTCTTAATGACTGTCCAGTTAATGGCAACTCCAGTTATTTATGAGTACCCTGTCAATCAATATGATTTAATCTATGACAATGTTTATGTGACACCTAATTATGGATTGATATATAATGAGAGACCCTGGGTCATTTCTGGTACTTATGGATACAATCCAGGACAAACCTATGCATGGAACGTGATTTTGGGCAAAAAATAAATGACTACTTCAATAATATGTTTGAATAATTTGAATGTAAATTTATAAAACATTTGATTATAAGAACAAATAAAATAATTTTTATCATAAAATGTAGAATTTAATTTTTAAAATCAAACATTTATATTCAATGATTAAAAATAATTTATAAAATATATTACTTGATTACCAAGCAATAAAAAATAAATATATTACAAAAAGATTTTATAAAGTACATTTTTTAGATATTAATGTTTAATATAAAAGTTTTGTAACATATGGGTTATTGAATAGTATTTTGTGAAATTAAGTCTTTAATACGTAAGACATAAATTGAGTGATAGTCACAATCTGTACAACCATTGAGGATATTAATCCACAATTGTCGACCAAAATGATAGCAGTTTTGTTGGTTTTAGTGACAATAGCCATAACATGTGATGCTAATCCAGGTACTATAATCAATGCAATTCTGTGCATAAAAATCCAATTATTAAAACGTGAACTAAATGTGTATTACAGAGACACTGCCGAAGCACATAATGCCGTGCGGTCTGGAAGTGGCGCCTATAGGGTTGGGCTCATACGACGACCGCAAGAAGAATGAGTTCCAGAAGATCACCCAATTCTTGAATGGCATCGAACAGGGATATCGACTCATAGACACCGCGTATGAGTACGAGAATGAAAAGCACTTGGGTCTGGCCATCAAACAGCTGATCGCCCAAAAGGTCATCACTCGCAGTGACCTCTTCGTGACCACCAAAGTGTGGAATACCTTCCATACGAGAGAGAGGGCCTTAGAAAATGTGAAATACGAGTTGCGGGACTTAGGCTTAGATTACTCGGACTTAGGGCTCCTGCACTTCCCGACGTCAGTGGTTGCCGGCAAAGATGGTTACCCCCGAGAATATTATACATTAACAGCCAATGGATCAGTTCAGGCGCCCTATGCTAAGAAAGATTACGGATATGTGGAGGCGTGGAAAGGGTTGGAAGCGGCCCAACGCCTGGGTCTGGTGCGGCACTTAGGTCTCGCCAACTTCAACATACATCAAATCAAAAAGATCCTATCGTTGGCTGTCGTTAAACCCGTTGTTATTCAGGTATAGGATGTTATGGATGTCAAGGATTTGCTCATTTATGACATCATTAGAAACTTAATACTTAATTTGTGTAGATTTGTAAATTAATCCGATTATAAATAATTATAAATATAGTATTAGAGAGTGTTTGAGATAATTGATGACATGTTTGTTTGAATGTATAGACTGAATGCCACCCCCTGTACCGGAACGACAAACTGGTA